ATTTTTAGTAGAGACGGGGTTTCACCATGTTGACCAGGATGGTCTCGATCTCTTGACCTCGTGATCCACCCGCCTCGGCCTCCCAAAGTGCTGGGATTACAGGCTTGAGCCACCGTGACCGGCTAATATTTATATTTTAATTTCTTTTTCTCAGTACTTTTCAGGACCTTCAGTACATATTGAATGGTGGTAGTTTTGCAAAAATCCTTGTATTTGTAGGAATTCTTCTGATATTTCACCAAAAGAATGTTTGTTGTAGGTTCTTGGTAAAGTCCTAGGCTATTAAGATTTCTATATTTATGAGTTCTTGAGTGTTTACCAGTAAATGCTATTTTTTATGACTGTTGAGATAGTTATATATTTTTTCTTTTTATAGATTTGGTCTTAATAGCTGTTCTAAGAGGTTGTAGGTTGTAAAATTATTCCCAAAGAAGTTAATAACTGGCATTTTTCCTTCTTTCACAGATCTAAGTTCAGGAAAACAATCGGAACAGGAGGTGCATCTTGAAGAGGCTAAGGGGATGAATATACTAAATATGCCATGCTGTCTGCACCATGCCAGCTAGTCTAGTATGTACTGGGTTCCATTGAGATTGATGCTATATCGAACTCTGATGATACGGTTCTCTGTGCCTGTCCACTCTGGTCTGTAGGAGAATTGCCACAGTCTTATGAATATAAGTCTGGGTTTGGAAGGGGTCAGTTGAAATTTTAGGAGTTTTCATATGACTCTTACTCTTTTCGATTTACTATCTGCTATTGCACATCTGCCAGTGACCTCTGTCTGTTACTGAAGAAGGCTGCTGGCTTCTTTGCTGTATATCCTGATCACACTGACTTCCTTCTGTAGCTTCTAGATAAGCAAATTTTTTTGATTTGTCAGGAAGCATCTTTGGTCTCTCAGTCAATTCGACTCTACTACTGACGTTTATCAACACAGTGGGTGTGATATCTTTTAATCTAATGAGTTATATAACTACATGTTTCTTTTGTTTTTGTTTTGAGATGGAATTTCATTCTGTCTCCCAGGCTGCAATACAGTGGCACAATCTCAGTTCACTGCAACCTCCACCTCCTGGGCTCAAGCGATTTTCCTGCCTCAGCCTCCCTAGTAGTTGGGATTACAGGCATGTGCCACCACGCCCAGCTAATTTTTGTATTTTTGTATTTTTAGGAGAGACAGGGTTTCACCTGTCTGTTGGCCAGGCTGGTCTCGAACCCTTGACCTCAAATGATCTACCCACCTTGTCCTCCCAAAGTGCTGGAATTACACGCATGAGCCACCATGTCTGGCCTATAACTGCATTTTCTAATGCTGAATGATTCTTGCATTGCTGGAATAAATCCTACTACTTTATGAGGTTTGTGTTTTTTGTTCATATACTGCTGAAACCAAATAGAATTAGACATTTATTACATAATAAATGTTCCTTCTCAATTCAGTGTGGAAAAGATGGGCTTTTCAATAAATATATGGTATGGGGAAATTGGATAAGATATAGAAAAGTACTAAATTGGATTCATCTTTTAAGTATATATCCAGGTACTCTACACATGTGTCAACAATTTAATGTGTGCTATGATACAAGAAGGTAAAGATAGAAGAAGAAAATATTTGTGTATTTCTTTACAACTTTGGAGTAGAAAAGGCCATTCTAAACCAAGTCTCAAAATCTGGAAGCTAAGAATTTTTTTTTAAAAAAAGACTGATGAAATAGACTGCATAAAAATGAAAAAATGCAACATGGCAAAAGACACCACAAACAAATATACAGACAAATGACAAATTAAGATAAAGCATTTAAAATTTATAGTAGAGGCAATACTCTAAAAGCCCCTCCATGC